AACGTTGGAACAGGTTGCTTAAAGAAGCTGTGAATTCTGCATCCCTGACAGTGTTCAAGGCCAGGTTGGGCACAGGGGCTTGGAGCAACCTGCTCTAGTGGAAGGTGTCCATGCCCATTGCAGGGGATTGGAACTGGATGAGCTTTGAGACCCTTTTCAACCTTTCTATGGTTCTATGATTTCCTCCCTCCGTGGCTGATTTGGACAATTGTGATTGATTAATGTCAGCTAATCCTAGAGATGATTTGGAGCAAGAGACTGCCCAACATGTATGATGGGTCCCTCTTCTTTGTTAGATGGGAATAAACTGGACTTTCCTTCACTGCAAATTTCCAAGCAGTGAGGACTTTGTTCACCTATTGCACATCCTGTGCCCTGTTCTTCCCTCGACAGCTGCACTGTCTGAGGTCACTGCTAAGATCCTTGTTACAGAGTGACCCCCATTCTTGCCAGCACTGCTCCATGCATCCTTTCCATGCAAAGGAATAGCCCATGTGGGATGCCACAGGGAAGGCACTTTGTGCCTGAGAGAGAGGAAGGAACAGTGTCTCAAAAAGACAGGCACCACAAGCTTGCCCTGGGCAATACATATGGTACAGAAGAACAATACAGTAAACCACTGTTAGCAATGGAGGGGGGAGGCAGGGGACAGAAAGTAGAGGTGAGTCTGGGAGGGAAACCCTGGACTGCAGTGATGTGCAGGGGTGTCTCTGCCTGCACCCAGAGATGTTCTCTCTCCTGCAAGCCGGAGCACTCTGTGCATCAGCACAGTCCATCCAGCTGTATTGCACTTTGGAACCACAAGACCACAAGGTGATCTCTGCACATTCAGATCAGCCTCTGAAGCAGATCTCCATACCCTTGAAAGTCAACCCATCAAAAATGATGGGGAGAAGTAGAATTCAGAAGCACGCCTCTTTTTGTCCTTGCTGGGGTGCTCTTTGATAGAAATGCTAGGGGAGAGAGGCTTTTTGTATTGTTCTACCAAAACTGAAGAAGAATAAGGATAAAATTTTGGAGATGGTGGTAAGGAATTTAAGGGGTTTGCTTGTCTCTGCCTAATCATCTGAACAGAACTAATAATCTGAAAGGAAAGATAATTAAATTAAACAGGCAACCAAAGTGGAGGAATAAGACTTTTGATGAAGAAGGGCGGCTGGGGAAAAAGTAGAGGAGGTGGCAGGGAAAAGCAGCGCATCTCTTTAAATTGTCAATCTCTCAGGGCAAGGTTGCTGCAGACATAATGAGTGTCCTAGTGAATTATCTCCCACTTTTATTGTCTGTTGCTACCATGGAAAGATGGGGAGGTGGGGAAACTAACTTTTTTTTTTTTTTGAATTTGGACAGACTTAAAGAAGTGGCATCAAATTTGAAGGGCACCCAATCAATCTGTTGTCCTAGCTGCATGAAATTGTATTTCCTTGCCACTTCATATCTTATTTGCAGCAGCTGGGCTGTAAGTCATTGGTGATAACATTCTTTATTATGCAGCCGTGTTTATGAACTGTGCCTGGAAAGAGATGATAGAAATATGCAGCAATATGCAAAGGGGGGGATGCTGGGGGGAGGGGGAATAAATGCTAGTTGCTAGGGCAACCGTGGGGCTATTTTGGGCATCAAATTTTGCAGATGATGAAAAGCATTTTCATGTGATGGTTGGTCTCTCCGGGAAGAGAAGGGGAGAGAGGGCACACAATAATCCAGGAAGATAATATTCAAGAAGGCAGTCATTTAATTTTTTTCATATATAAATACAGATATAGTTTCAGCTGTACTGAAAATGTGTTAAAACCAGAGGAGCCAGTACCTCCTAGTTCAGAGGAAGGAGAGGTGTTTTAAATAACTAAATAGGAAACGGCATGCTAGTAATTTGGGAGGTTTCCTACGGCACTTGGCACAGTCTAAATCCATCCAGTGCTCTTTGGAAAGCACTGCATGGGTCATGCTGGTGTCTGCAGTTATTCCTCCTTCCACCCAGTCCATCTCACCCCAGCTCTCTGCCCCAAAGGCTGTCTCCATCTCTATCACAGAGCAATCAAGCCAATTAATTCACAAGCTTTTTTGTCACAGGTTAAAAAACCCCAAGTTATCCAAGACGGCTCTTGACTTTTGCAAGGATCAAATGATACCCATCATTGAATCCCATCCAAATACTAAGATTCATAAAAAACAGAAACTGCTTTCAGGTAGTTGCCCTCAACCAGGGATCTCCAACCTGGAGGATGTGAGCTGCTTCCACCATGCTGACACAAGGGGCATGGGCACACGCAGAAGATCCTGCTGGGAGGTGTCCCAGGACTTCCAATACTGAGGTTTGGGCATGGGAACTGACAGTCTGGACACTTGATGCCTGCATTTCTGCAATGCTTTGTGCTTGAGGTCATGCTGAAGAGTTGTCAGGGCCAAGGGTGCTTTTACAGAACGAGCACAAGTCTCTTGGGTTTGGGCTTTGACAGGGCAATACCAGAGAGCAAAGGCTGGTCACAGCTGGGAGTGAGGGGGTGAAATCATCTGAGTTTGTCCCACCTGGGACCACAGTGAATCCTCCTCTGCTGGTGGGTCCCAGGTGGGAATGGAAAGGTCATTAGGGTTTTGCACCTTCACCTAGGGCCCTCTTGGAGCTCAAGGGCAGAAGGCAGGTGAGCAGACAGGACAGTGCTTGGGGAAGGTGAAGCAGGACTGTAAGCAGGGTAAGAGCTTGTTCTTATCTCCCAGCTTCTGACTTCCTGGAGTGCAAAGTTTGCTTATGCTTCAGGCTTGTTCTGTTGCAGTGATGCTTTTCTTAATTTGATTTCACTGGAATTGCTCTGAGAATAAGCTCATGAGTGTTTGCAGCCCCTGCATGATCACTGTTGCTCGAGCCATTCTTAAAATCCTGGGGACTCTAAATATATTGGCACATTAAGCTGGTTAAAATGAACTGCGCATGTTTTCAGCAAGAAATCTATTTCAAATGCGATATAATGTGACTCTCTTATTGCTCTAAAGTTGTGTTTTTAATTAAGTAGTTATGTGTGGCAGTGAGATTCTTCTTGAATAATTAAATCAAGGTAGCTTAGTGAGTAATTGCAAAGCGAATTGCTCGGACCATCAGGCTGCTGTTGAGACAGTCTGTTTTCTTTCAGAGAATTAATCCAAGTGATGCCTGTTGCTCAGAAAGTAGTAGAACATTGTGCTGGGTAATGGGCATTTGTCTTGGTATGCTTTGTGCCTCAGAGCTGCAGCTTCCTAATGTTGAATGCCCATTTTTCAGTTGTCTTCTCCAGAAACAAATGCTGATGGGTTTCTGCTTTGCTTGTTCCCTTTGCCTTAATCTGCTGCCCTGGGTAGTTCCGTTCAGAAGGCTGAAAAGGGAGTGGGTGATCATTTAGTTACTAAACAATGCAAGCACAGACCTGATTTTACCAGTTCTTGTGCACATGAAATGGCTTTACGGGCTGGTCTTTCAGCTTCTGGCCAAGGCAGAGCTGAACCAGACCCATCTCTTTCACCCTGGCATCTAGTTCAGAGTTTTAGTTGCTTGTGTGTGTTAATCTGGTATTCCGGGTGTCTCACTTGGCATGTAGTAATTCTCTCACTGTTAGATATTCTGAATAGACATATATATCTTCTATTGTATTAAACTTCATTTACCAGGAGATCAAGGGAAATCCTCTGCACAAACAGACATCCATTCACATGCACGGTGAAGGGAAATGAGTGCACACTGTAGAAACAAGATTTTTTGACAGATTTGGGTTTCTTGAAAGTCTGCCTTTTGTTCTTTAGTAGCTTTCCTTCCTCTGCCCAAGTAATATGTCCAACAAACATAAGCATTACACAAATTTGAGCTAAGCTGACCCCAGAGCAGCTTATTGGTATTTTCAAATGAAAAACAAAGAATGAAGTGGGGAGAGCCTGGCCACCCTCCTGACGTTGTCCTCAAGCATCAGTAATCACGCACTAATTTACCAGCTGATGTTTTGTTAGGGTGTTTATTCTGTAACCACAGTGTCCACAAGGACTGATGCAGATACTGGTATCTTATGGATTTACTTCTATGAAGTGGAATATTTTCCCAAGTGCCTCAATAATTTCAGAGTTCAGCATTCGGGTACCCTTGGAAATCCCATTCTTGAATCTCTGTTATGCTTTATGAGCCTGCAGCCCTCAACAGGGACGTTATTTCATGCTCTAGGTAACAGTGTAAAACTGTGTGTTTTAGCACCGCACTGGCTTTCCACCAGGAGAACAACTCACAGAGATACTTTTGCTGTAGCAGACTCAATTCCCCATGCATTTTCTGGAGCCTTCCTGCTGTCACCTTTGGTTTTGCCTTAAAGCTTCATGGATTTTTAGACTGAGCTGAGCTCTTAGGCAGAAGCTCTTCCCTGTGAGGGTGCTGAGGCGCTGGCACAGGGTGCCCAGAGAAGCTGTGGCTGCCCCATCCCTGGCAGTGCTCAACAGGGATGGACACAGGGGCTTGGAGCAAGCTGCTCTAGTGGAAGGTGTCCCTGCTCGTGGCAGGGGTTGGAGCTGGATGACCTCTTTCTGTCTGTGTTTGCATCTCTATAAAATAGATATCAGCAACAGCAATGGCTAGGGTGAAGGAGGAGCTGCAGAAGAGCAGAGCATCCTTATCTGTTAAAGGCTTGCTCAGGTTTTGATGAAATGTCAGATTTGGAAAGTTTTTAGGGGAACTGTCCCACTTGTTACAGAAGCTGTTACCTTTTTCCCATTACCTCTTCTCTTTTTAAGGCTTTTCCTGTGTGTTCCCAACCATTCTGTCCCTGCAGGATGGGCTCACTGCCTTTTGCTGTATTGCCATACCAGTGCTGGGAAACTGGAAACTTCTATTTCTTCATTTCCGGACCTTCCCGCACTTGAGCGATGAGAAACACTGAGCACTAAGTTGAAGCTGTCTTTCTGTGCACTGTGTAGTGTAAATACTGTTGGAACAAACATGGGTATGAAAGCAGAGAATAACACAAATTCATTTCATTTTGTTTTTTTCCCCCCAGGACATGGAAGCTTCTGCCTGTGAATTTAATACCAAAGACAGTCAGGATCTTGGTGACAGACAGAAGGTCAGTCTTTTTTCTCTGATTAATTCAAAACTAAATCATGCTACTTAACACTGATGGCATTGATGTCTTCTGCTTTACAAAATGAAGATGTGGCCCCTGGTTGGCAAAAAGGAGCCTGTATCAATGCTGAGATTAGCTGTGACAGAGGTAGCCAGACTGGAATGATGGCTTTGATGCAGATGTGAAACCCAGGCTCAGTTTTACTTGAAATTGGGTTCAGGGTCAGGCTCTTTGTGTAGCTGCTTGGTGCAAGGTCTGAAAACCATAGAATCATAGAATAGTTAGGGTTGGAAAGGACCTTAAGATCATCCCGTTCCAACCCCCCTGCCATGGGCAGGGACATCTCACACTAAACCATATCACCCAAGGCTTCATCCAACTGGGCCTTGAACACTGCCAGGGATGGAGCATTCACAATCTCCCTGGGCAACCCATTCCAGTGCCTCACCACCCTCACAGTAAAGAACTTCTTCCTTACATCCAATTTAAACTTCCCCTGTTTAAGTTTTAACCAGTTACCCATTGTCCTGTCACTCCAGTCCCTAATGAAGAGTCCATCCCCAGCATCCCTATAGGCCCCCTTCAGAAAATAGATGAAGGCATCTTGGTTTGATGGCTCTATCTGAGAATATAAATCTTGCCTGAACATCTGAGTTTTTCTGTACCTACCCAGATCTCCATTGGTAATTCACATGTCCCTGCTGCTTTTTTGGAGCAAAGAAGTGGTTGTTTGGGACACTCTGTGGTCTGTGGATCCTCTCTGAGTAGGACAAGTATTTAAAAACAAACAAAAACCCTTTGCAAATATTTGTTTGAATGTTCTGGCTTTACTGTTTATATCCCGCTTGCATGTGGGATGTGGAAAGATGCATTTTAATCCAAACAGTGACAAAGGTGATGGCTTTGCCATCCAAGATTTCAACATAGCAACTGTTGGGTTTGTTTTTTTTTTTCTCAGAGCAGCCTTATTTATAACAGAGGAGTGTAAATGAGAGTAAGAAAAAATGCATCTTCATGTGTCAGTTTTGATCACCTCGCTTCCAGTTTTAGCTTGCTGGTTTTAAGCAGCTCTGCTTCCCTAGAAGGCCCTTTAGCTGTTCTGTCCAAGTTTGTTTCTACACATGCATTTGTGTTTGACCAGGCTTCAGGTAAAACAGGCTTTTGTGTACTATGGGCTTTTCATAGCACTGCTGGGGGGGATTTAACTTCTTCAGAAGTTTGTGTGTATCAGTGTGCGTGTATACATCCTTGATATATTTACACATATGAAATATGTAAGTGAATTACTTAGATATGTATTTTGCAGTAACCCAAATAACCCGAATCTGTCAGGTCTCCCCCTAGCTGGTTGATCCCTGCCCTGGGCAGACACAGTGTGGTTACCCCTTAGCTGACTATGTGGGTAAGAAAGCCTACAGGAGACCATGGGAGCTGGGTAAGATATTTTGATTTGATGACAGATGAAGTAGAAAACACCAAACATCTGAAAGCTGTGCCCAGGCACTAGCAGCTTACCCAGAGCATCTGGTGCTTCCTACAGCAACAAGGTGTTTCAAAAGGAAACACAGTGGACATCAGGAATAATTACTGAAGGACTGCTCTAGCAGCTCCAGCATGTCAGGGAAAACAAAAACATCACAAAACCCCAGACCAGTTTTGCTCAGGTAATGTTTCATTCACTCCAGTGACCCCTCACCAGCCAGCAGGCTCCACTGGGTAGGTGACTTGTCTGCCATTCCTTGACCTTGCTATCATAGATTGAGCCAAACCCTCTGGTTTGTCAGTGCTGCAAGCCAGAAATGACAGTTTAATGGTTATTAGTGCAGTTTTCGTACATGGGAAGAGCTGATGTGAGTCTGTGATGCTAAAGGGCTACTTTCTTAAAGGCCTTGGAAAGAGGAGTTGTTTAATCATAGGATAGCTAGGGTTGGAAAAGACCTTAAGATCATCTAATTCCAACCTCCCTGCCATGGTTCCATACACTCCAGCCTATCACTGACACAAATGGCTATTTCCCCTCCCCATCTGCTTGGTCTGTGTTTCCTAAAGAGCCCATAATCTTCCATTCCAATGTTCCAGTGATAGGAGCAGTCCCACCATGTTTCTGTGATGCCAATAATATCATATCCCCATAGACGTGCACACATCTCTAATTCCTCTTGTTTATTCCCCATACTATGGGTGTTTGTATAGAGGCATCTGAAATGAGCTCCAAATAAAGCCAACTCATTAGCTGGAGTAGCTGAAATACTTCTGCATTGCTCCAAGCACTTATTACAGGTGCTGGCGTCTGACTCTTGCATGTGTCCCATGTGTATCAAACTTAGCATCTTTTATTGAGATGGTTATCTGTAATGTGTGTCATTTTCACAGAAAGGTGCAGACCAAGTTGGTTGCTCCAAGTAGAGAAAATAGCATTATATCTAAGAGAAGCTTTAAAAGACAAGAATTGCTCTAAGCCACCTTTCTCTATTTCCATCTGCATGAGGGAAAACTCAGTTCTCAAGGGTGAAATTGGAAAGTGCCTTCTCTGGGAGGGAGGGCAGGCATTTAATGCAGGGCACAGCCCTGCAGACTAAGTAGGCACTTCCTTTATGCCTTTCTGGATGCTCAAACTTACTGGGTATTGCAAACTGCTTGATTTTTACTAAGGCTTAGATGCGCAGGGCTGGAAGGAACCGCAAGTATTACCATAGTTCCCCTTGCTGCTCCAGTGATGGACCAGCTGTGCCTCTCCCTATAATTTGAGCTCCTAATGCCTTATCCAGGTTCAAGGGGGCAGAGACTTTTGCCTCTTCATTTTGAGCCTGAACTGCTGGCTGAGCTCTCGGCCTCCCATCAGGGTGAAGGAGGTAACCTTCCTCCTCATGGTGTCCTCATGAATAATTCCTTCGCTTGCCCACTTGATTTCAGGTTTCCCAAAATAACTGACACTTTTCACACCAAGAGCAAGCAATCCTGGGGAAAATAAAATACATTAAACAGCTGCATCACCTTGACAGAGCCCTGAGGGAGTTGGCACTTAGGGGAAAAAAGGGGGGGTGTGGGCAGAAAAGGATTTGTAGGAAATTTTGAGTTGATGGGGAAAATACCGTATTCCCTCCATCCTCCCTTCTGCAGTGAATGTCTTGGTTGTTTCTGTTGGGATGTGACGGTCTTCTGTCTGTGGATCTGCATTGATGGGAACTAGAAATCTCTGGGAAGATGGGGAGGGACGATATGAGAGATACTTCCAGCGTGGCTGGAATCAGGATCCATCCCGCCTGCCTGAGCAGCCCTTCCCCTTCAGACAATTCAGAATCTCCGTTCCGAGTGTGACTCCCCTCTTCAGATGTGCTGTACAATGTCTCTCCACTGGATACCCACTGAATGCCTAATTTTTAACCACTCTGTCTGTCAGATCCACAAAAGCTGTTACTGGAGGTGTTTGCATTAAAGAGCTCCACTATAGGTATCTGAGAGCAGCTGGCGATGCTCTAGACAGTATCCAGCAGTGCTGATCGAGGCAAAATGCTTTAGTCTCTCTGGCTTAATGGCTATGTGCATTTTCTTAATGTACCCACCCCCTCAATTGCCTCCTAAATTAGCATGCAGGATGTGTCCAGCCTTGGAAAGAAAAGAAGTTTGGAGCCTCTTCAATTCAGACAAGGCAGGTTATGATATTGGAAATAAAGCACAAATCTGACATAGAAAGATCAGAGGAGAATGTGGGCTCAGTCTTGGGCTCTCGTTGGGCTTATGAGGGGATGGCAACGGCCTTGCCTTTGCCATGAGGTGAAGCATGTTCATGGAGGTTTTGACTTATTTGTACCCCCCTGTAATGGTCCTCAGAGGTGGTTTAACCAGCTGGGCAACACTAGCTTGGGGCAGGACTCCTGTCATATCCCAGTGGTGGAGAAAGGGAGTACACTTACTGATGTGAAGTTGGATTGTTAGAGTTGGACACAGCACAGTGGAGCTCAAAACACTGGATGTTTGTGGGTGATAAAATCAGGAGCATTCGATGGTCACTGCTTGCTAAAGGCTTTTAGGTGACCACAGTGAGATATGGCCTGTCCTGTGTGAATGAGTCTCCCTGAGAGACCTGACCATACTGAGGTACTTCATGTGTAGATTAAAGCAGACCAAGGCATGTGAGTCTCCCTGGTAACCAGTGCCACTTTGAGGGAGAGGAAACCACACTGAGGTGAAGAGAAGTCAGGGTGTGCTGCTCCGGTCTCATCTTTGGTAGTTGATGTGCTTCTCAATTATGTAGTGTTTAAGATGCTGGATGATTTCTCCATCTAACTTCTCTGCAGGGTTAATGGCTGTGCTATAGAAGTGTAGCACCTGTGGCATTTGATATTATATTTTCTTCTCAGTATCCCCATTTTTTTTCCACTGTCCTTCACCTCTCCTGCCCTGCGCTGCTGTGCTTTTAAATCTAAAATCAGTTTGGCTTTTAGGTTAAGGGCAATCCATAACAAGCAAAAGCAGGAGTCACATAGGAGAGGGTGCAACAGGCAGGAGAGTCCCAACCTGCTGTTGGCATCTTTACCCCTTAATCTACCCCTGTCTCCCTCCTTGGTCTGCTCTCCAGTAATGTGTGCCTTGTGTTAAACACACAACTGCTTTTTGAGAGTTCATGCTTGAATTCACAGGTATTTAGAGGTGCTTGTGCCCTCAGGAGATAGGGTTGCAGGGCAGGAGCTGTGTTTCCTTGGGTATACAAGTGTGCACGGTGTTCAGAGCACTTGCTCTGATGGCAAACTCTGGTGTAACTGGAAACTTCAAGATGAGATGGGATAATGATAATAACAGTGGAAAAATGCTAAAGGGTAATTTGCTGTAATGGGTGCAGATACACAGGCGAGCAGGTATTGTTTTGCTACTGTGGCTTTACTGAAAACTAACCACAAAAGTAGATGTTAGTGCTTCCAGGGCTTGTGGTGTGCTCGGAGGTGCAAACAACTGATTCCAAAGTTGATATAATCAAAGAATAAAAGAAGATTGGATGCTAC